TTTGTAGGCGAGCGCGCGCGATTCACTCACTATCGATCTATCTATCTGTCTATCTGTCTTTCTAACTGTCTATCTGTCATCTATCTATCTATCTTTCTTTCTTTGAATTGGAAATATATAGATATTTCCTCTATTTCTGTCACTCACTCTCTTTCGTCTCTCTCTCTCTCTCTCTCTCTCTCTCTCTCTCTCTCTCTCTCTCTCTCTCTCTCTATCTGTCTCTCTGTCTCTCTATCTGTCTATCTGTCATCTATCTATCTATCTTTCTTTCTTTGAATTGGAAATATATAGATATTTCCTCTATTTCTGTCACTCACTCTCTTTCGTCTCTCTCTCTCTCTCTCTCTCTCTCTCTCTCTCTCTCTCTCTCTTTCGTCTCCACTCTCTTTTTCTCTAAGTATCTATCTATTTTTCTATATATTTCCTCTATTTTTCACTCTTTCTCACTCTCTCTCTCTCTCTCTCTCTCTCTCTCTCTATCTATCTATCTATCTATCTATCTATCTATCTATCTATTTATCTATCTATCTATCTATCTATCTCTCTATCTATCTGTCTATCTATCTATCTTTCTTTGTACATATTTCCTCTATTTCTTTCACTCTCTCTCTTTCTCTCTATGTATCTATCTATGTATCTGTTTATTTATCTATCTGTCTATCTATTGATCTATCTATCTATATTTCTTTCTATATATTTCCTCTATTTCTTTCACTCTCTCCCTCCCTCTCTCAATCTTTCTCTCTCCATAGGTGTGTATTATTTAAGCTAGGAAATTTCCTTGTCGAATATCACAGATAAGACTAATCCAAAAATATTGATCATTGCTATTATCATATTAGAAAACATCAATTATTGTGTTATATCCAGCTTTTCTCCCCCTGGCTGCAATTACTTCGTTGTGTTTACAGTATGTGTTTTTCTTTTTTTTTTTTAATTGACTGTTTTGAGGAAGTTGTTGATAAACATGTATTCCGAAACTTCTGAGACTTTCTTCTCTGATTTCCTATGATTTTCAAATTTTTCATACTAGTTAGTATGGGCATGCTTAAATGAAAATCACAAAGAAATTTTCGCATGTGAATGTTCATTCCCACCTTCTCCATTCCAAAAGTATCAGTTTATTCAAAAGTAGTATTAAAAAAAAAATAATGAATATGAAGATAGCAGATATCTGTAGATTTGTTTAGTTTCAAAAATTCATCAAGAAAACAATCAATACATATAATTTTTAAACTATCACTTAACAAGAGGTTAAAACAACCTACTAAATAAATTTTAATAGTGGTTTCCAAAATGATGGCCTCAAGGCTCCCTAAACATGACTTTCCTGCACTCTCTGGAGTATTTACAGAACTTCGTGTTATCTAAAATCTTTAAGTTTTTTGTTAATTTGCAAACTTCATTAACATAAAATGCTATACTTACTAATAATTTTTTTTTAAATAATTGGATAATAATTGTCATTTTTTGTGTTTTGAGATAATTTTTATATTTACTAATATATGTTAATTTTTATTAAATTCACTAGTTTTCGTGGTCCGCTTGACCAATTACTATCTTTCAGTTAATTATCGTTTTTAGTTGAGATAACAAAGTCAGTGCCACAAGTGGGATTCAAACCCATGATCTTCGGCTAGATAGGCCGCTCCTCCACCACTTGAGCTATCGTGACCTCGATCTAAAATAAATGTCAGTGTCGAGCGGATCAAGGTCACAATAGCTCAAGTGGTAGAGCAGGAGCCTATCTAGCCGAAGATCATGGGTTCGAATCCCGCTCGTGACACTGACTTTTTTATTTCAACTAAAAACCTTAATTAATTGAAAGTAAATCCTTATTAAATTATTTAAGTTATTGTTATTATTTTATTTTTTATTATTGAACTTACATTTTTAAAGACGCTGACTGATTAGCCACTACTTATGAAATGAGTACATCCTTCAGATGCAACACCCTTTTTATAGCAGTCTTCGAATACGGGGTTTTCCATAAACAAGGATCTCAATACGCAATTAAGTAACACAGTCATGTAATTAAAATAACATTGTTTTCTTGATATAAGATAATTTGTATTCATGTTGGCAATTACTTTTTGAATTGCGCTCCAAACAAATTAACAAATTAATTGGTCCCGTGGTCAAAGCTAAAATAAGATTTATTCTGAAAAAATGGCCAAAAAAAACCTTTTTAGATATATTTAATTTCCAGCAAATATATTTATTTTATATGTTGTTACATTAAACAAGGAAGAATTAATGACAATAGATTCTATTAAAATATTCAAAATCATATGTGTAAGAAGGTCAAAGTAAAGTAAAGAACAAGGAAATAAATAATTATAAATTCAACTTGTGAGCAGTTCAGCAAACGCTCTAATGAAAATAAACCCAGTAAGTGACACATTGCCGGTTCAACATGATTTACGCAGAGGTTTGGTAGTTGGCTAAAGTAAAGTTCCAATCTCCATTAAACTGTTTAAAAAAGCCCGTTGTTTCAGTAAGCATACTTAATTATAACTTGGTGCCTCCGCCCTTTGTATGAAAAAAAAAAGAGTTGAGGATTGTAAGTTTATTAACAAATAGGAAAAGAATAATAATACTAACCTAATTGGGGGTAGATGGGATACTCAATATTATGCCATTGACCCCTCTCACGGTAAACATTCATGCTAATAAGTACAGTCGTTTCCAAGACACAAGGATACACAACAATATCAGCACTATGTATAACTGTTTCCTCTAAATCGAAATAGATAACCCATGGTTCCAAGTTGAAAAACAATTCTCGTATCAGGTGGCATTCCTTCACGCTCTCTATATTGAGCCAAAGAATTTCACCCTTCAATTAGGTGGGTCACATCAAGCAACCTTTTTCTACATGCTGTACACGTACATGAGCTTTAGCCCAAAAGTAAGTGTTGTTGTGCCAACCTCACATGGCCTATCCTTAATCAGGTGAGGATGACCTTTCTACTACAGGTCACATGCTTTTTATTGCATTTATTTGAGTTGGTACTTTGGTAATGTATAAAATGTATGAAACCCATATTTTGTTCTTGCTCTTCCATTGTATATATATATTTTATATTAAACGTCTTGTGAGGATGAATGTATTTATTAGTGGGAATATGAATGAGTTCCCACTACTCCATCGGCCAACTCAATAAATGCAGTTTATGTAGATAGTTTTCCAGGATATTAAAGAAACAAAATATCAGGCACTTCATAGTTCTAGAAGAACAAATGAAACTTATTTATGAACAAATAATAAAAATGATTGAGTGTAAAATTATGTTTATGTTTCTTACTCCTTGAATTTAATTTTGGTGGATTGGAACCTAGATGAAGATTCCAATTTCATTAATATTATAGGATGTTCAAACAGTTTGCATAGCAAAACATTTTATACATATTGTAATCATTTCTTTAGGTTTCATTTTATTTTATATTGTTTTTTTCTTCCTAATGGTGCATTCAAAAAAACACCGCTATTGGCTCAATTACTTGGACATTGGGGCATCGGTGGCCGCAAGGGTCAAGCTATTGACATGGCACTCATCACTGTCAAGAAAAGGTAGGCGGCCATGCATTCAAACCCACATACTTACATATGTTTTTTTTTTCCAAAACACCAAACACCTCGAGAATTGATATGTCCTTTGGTGTTGTGAACCCTCATTAAAAAGTAGGGGAGAATACTAAGAGAATTCAAGCTTAGATGTTTCAATAGGAAGTCCTTAAGTGAATCTTATTTTTTAGTTATTTAATAAACTATTATTAAGCTGTTTTGTTCTATAAACATAAGTTAATCATATAATTTAATTATTAACGTTTCTTTTTTCAAAAATGTTTCAAAGTAAACCAAAAGTGCACTGACCAGTTAGCCAAGAATGTTTCTAAGAGTTAACCTAACCTAACCTCCTATCCTCCCATGCAGTTACATTAAGTACTCTCCAAATGCATTTAAGAAATAGATTGAAGCAAAGAAGCATACGTATGGAAGGTAAGGATTTGACTATGAGCCACTTTAAAATTAATTATAAAATAAATTATTTAAGGGCATTGAAATTGAAACTCCATAGATTTGTCATTCTTCCCAGTCTTGCATGTGCTGCAGCAGTCACTTGTATGCTGGAAATCGTCAGCTAAGGCCATGGCCTTGAATAATGTCCTCACCACTCCAGCCAGAATAAAGAATTTTAATTCTCTCCAGAATTTTTTGGTGGCTCCTCCTTAGATCTGGCTTCATTCATAATTAATAAATAAAAATACATTAAAAATTAATTGTTGGAACAATTCACAGTACTTAACAACATTTAAAATGCCTTATTCTAATGTTTCCTTGTATCAAAAATACTGACATTTATTGAATATTGAGTTACTTTTCTGATGAAGAATTAACAAGTGTTTGATCAGGTTAAATTTAATATGCTTGAAACTATAAGTTTCACTACGTCCATATTTTCATTAATCTTGTAAATTATTAATAATTTCAAATTCCTGATGATGGAGTGAAAAGTTGGAAGAAGAAACTAATTGTTTTCTTTCAAATATAACAATTTTAATATAATGTTCGTGTATTTAATGTTTAATTGTTAAAATTTAAATTTGATCAAATATTAGAATTAATCTTCAAATTTTATATTGATTTTTTTTTTCAAGGATTGATATTTATAACTTTGTTAGTGTTATTTGAAGATGAAAGGAAAAAAATAATTGGCAAGATATTCATTGTTTTATGTTTCTATTATTTTTTTATGTCTTTGTTGTAACTGTTTATTAATATCTTTTGAAAAACAATTCAATTTTGAGTGATACTGGGCTACGTTTGATGTAGCATCACAGAAAATATATAATTTTATTTTAAGGTAAATCACCTTTTGTTATTGACACCCTATTCATCTTCTTTGAATAGCACATTGTTACAATAATAATTACCATGTAATTTTCTAAAACCCTCGCAATTTCTTCCTATATAAAGGTCTGGGGTAGCGAGGAAGCTTTCATTCGACGAGCAAGTCTGAGCAATAACGGTAAGATCAGTATCACTGTTTCGCACATCAATATTTTTCACTTATATCTAATTGTTTCATTGGCAGAATTGCAAAATGAAATTCGTGATCACTATGATCCTGGCGATATGCCTATTTGCATCAGTTTTTGGCCAGATGTTCCAGTATTCAAGAGGATGGAGGAATGGTAAACGGTCCGGTGAAGTCATGAAGGAATCATCATGCCAGCTTCTACTCAGGTCTTTACTTGATAACAAACCAGTTTCACAGGTATTAAAACTATTTTGTTTAAAATTAATTATTAAATCAAAATTGGATTCTACATGTATGTTTAATTCATTAAAGATCAACTCGCTTTGTGATTGGTGCTATGAGCAGAAGCAGACGTTGTTGCCGCTCAGACAAGAAGTTGCTGGTACAGATCTTCAAGACAAATAGTTCATTCAATAAAAACATAAACCAAAGTTTAAAAAAATGTATCCCCTTGATATGATATATTGTAATATCTGTAGTTAATTTAACATAGTTCAATTCAATAAAAAGCTAGAAAATTAAATATGTTTTTTACTCATTCCTCCATGTACATACATACATATATATATATATATATATGTAACAGGAGCAATACTGATCAAATCAATTTTCAAACAGAAATATCTGCTAAAATAATATGATAACATGATGTAACATTTATTAGTACAAAGTACAAACAAACAATAATTTGAAATCAGTATACATTTTTATCGAACGAATAATGCGATAATGACGTGATATAATCATAGAAATCTGTCTGGTTATTAAGTCAATATATGTTAAGAACTCTACCAGTAGTGCCACTGACAAATGGACACATTACAATGCCATCACAACCCTTAAACCCATTTTGAATGTATTTTTATTACCAAGCTGGAAATTGCAGGAATTTAATTATTTACTATTTTTAAATGTGTAATAAATATTAAACGCAGATTGCGGGTGCTAGATTGAAATTTAAAACAAATTGACTTTCTTGACACAAACATTTACAAATACAAAGTACAATTCACATAATAAGTAGAAAATCGGTATAAATTATTGTTATCAAAGTAGCATTGATAAAATGGAGACATGATCATTGTAATATCTGTGTTAATTATCTTCAAGATTTCTCACAACTTGCGATGAGACTGGCAAATATACAGATTACAACTTAAAATTGGCGAGTGATAGACTGAATATGCCGAATCAATTGATAATAAATTCTTTTCCTGTGACTTAATCTTAAAAATATTTTTTTATTATATGAATATTTTTATATGAAAAGGGGGGCATCAGTGGTCGCAACAGTTTAGGCGTTGACGTGGTGCTCGTCACTGTAAGGTAAAGGTTCGAATCAGTGGCCCTGCCTTTGCATATACATACATACTTACAAATGGTAAAAGAAAAAAAAAGTTATAAGTTATTAAAGTTAGTTATTTTTATTTATTTGCTTTTTATGCTACATACTTTACTGTAATCTGTCAAGAATCATCATGTTACTGACAATAACTTAATTTTAGTTTGATCATTTACCATCATTTTGGTCTGACAATTCTTACTTGTTTGACGCTACCCAGCCAGAATGGCCAAATCAAACAAAAAAGATCACCAACATGAATGGCAATTGAAATTTTCACTCTTCAAACTCAAATTTAAAATTGAATTAGAACTGTTTTGATGAAAATCTGGCTGACACTTGGTATGAATTAACAAAAAATTAATAAAGCCCTTTGATATTTATTTTTTTGTTTAACTTTTCTACCAGTTTTATTTTGTTTTAAAAGCTTTTGTAGGAGTTGCCGAGTGTTGGTCCAACAAAACTGTTCATAAAATCCAACAAAAAATAAAAATAAATGAGTATTCAACAAACAGAAAATACCATACCTTGATGCAGAACATAAAAAATTGACTTATGAGTTTTCCTTCTCGAAGGTGGGATAATAGGTCATGTAAAAAAAAAAGAAGTTTCTCTTTCAATCCGAAACATTGATTGAAAGAAAAACTGGTTGTTGTTTTTTTTTTAGATGACCTATTATACCATCTTCGAGAAGGAAAAATCATAAGTTAAACTGTTGAGGTCGAAATATAAGAAAATAAAAATTGATAATATGTAGTACCAGTAACATACATAGCAAACACTTAAATTTCTAGTGAAACGTTTTGATTAAATCTGGGTTAACCTATTCAGTCAACAACCCTTTTTTATTCTACGGAGAAAATTAGTGATGATTATGGTAGGTAATAAATAATGTATATATGTTTAGTTTCTGCCAATTTCGCCTTTTCGCGTTTTCTTTGCGTTTTTCTTAATCTTTTATGTCCATTGATTTATTTAATGTATGATAAATAAAAAACAAGAATTGTACGTTACAATATAAATAAAGTACTTTACCATTGGTATATTTAAAACCATTTAATTGAATAATTCTGTTTAAATAAACATTAATCATTTGGGGAAAATCCTTGAATCACGTTAAGGTTTTCCCAGTATTTTCAATTTCTGTAATTTTCTACCCGGTTGTGAGAATAAGATCTAGATTATAATGATACCAAATTAAAATATTTACAACCTGCAGTACATAATTAATAAAATATTTGTGTGCGAGAAAAACGGTGCTTCTGGCAGCATCAAAAGTTCGAGATCCTTCAAGAAAGGAAGAAGGGATCAGTGAAGAAATTAATGTCACGATGCATTGAGACGATTTTAGGAATAAATATCAATAATAATGGATGTTGGATGTTCCAGGATATTTTTTTAATTATTATTATTGAAACTACACGTTTTTAAGGACTCAGTTGCAAGTACATATTCTACAAGTAAAAATACATAAAAAAATAATATAATAGCAATCTGTTAAAAAACAATTATGGTTCAATGAAGAAACTATTATTTTCGATATCTTTTAATTGTAATATTTTTTCCCAGTAATTTTGATGACTTTTAAAACAAGCGAAAGCATAGCCTAAGCAGAAAAAATCAGATAAACATGAAGCAATTCCAATAGGTTGTACAGAAAATTGGGAGTTAAAATTTAGGACATTTCATTAAATAAAATGAAAATTTCCATTTTATAGTGAAGAACGTGGATTATTAAGTACCCGCTACCTTTACAGTTTATTGCTTGATGTATGCATTTTTTCTAAATAGATGCTTAAAGAGCTAATTCTGCACGAAGGAAAAGGAACGACACAGCTGGATCGAAAAAATTCACAATCAAAACTCATTTTAAAAAAATCTGTTTTTCAGTCAAGAAAGAAGTTTATCCAGTACACTTTGTATCCAGTACTTTGCTGAAGTTTTCATAAGGGGGAGGGCAGCTAAAGGCAAAAAGAATCGTAATACAAAAAACCCTAGGCGCCAGGGAAAAAAAAAAGCTCGACATCAATTGAGTTTTAAGAATGTGACTTGTTTACCTTATAACCTTTTTGTTTGTATACGCTTAATTTATAATTTTTTGTCAACACCTTAATTTTTTTAAATACATGGATGACTGTATGATTTTTGACAAAAAAAGCTTTAATTAGGCCGCAGAACGTAATAGTTGCTTGGATCTCATCCATGGCTGCAGGTGTCTCTCGTTGGTCTCGTACCAGTGTATATATTTTAATACGTGATGAATTTTTCATCGAAGTCCTTATGTAATTTATGTATATGTATCTCTACTCTTTTTTTTAAAACATTGGACGCCTGTCTGTTTTCAAGGAAGTAACACAGTCAGGGTAAAAAGAATGGATGATTTCAAAATCAAGCAAGCTTTAGGAGGGACGGTACAGTCACTGTAGTGGCTGAACCATTCGCCTGCACCTTCTGCATCCAATAGCGTCATTGCATCATGGTCGCAAGGGCGTTGATGCTCTTTGGTCATTGCACCGTCCGTCGTTTATGAAACCGAAAAACAAATCTAATCGCGTACATTGGACAAGTCCGATAAACCAAAGACGATATGAAGTGGGTGTATTTGACAGTCTCTTTGAAGAATTAAGATGCCATGAAATTAGCATTCAACGGCAGATAGCTGAGAAATTGAATTCAACCTACTCAAATGTTACCTGTGACACTTAGATAACTGAAAAACCTCTAGAACTTGAATAAATCAATAAAGGACGTTGCACGATTTTACTTGTACGTTAAAAATGAAGTATATCTACAAATTGTATATAGTATATATCATTATAACATCTTTCATTTTCTTCTCTTTTTATGTACGATGTATGTACAATTATTTGATGAAAAACACCAACCAACTCGTGATTACAATTGATAAAATAATTAAAACACACCAATTTCAAACCTGCATTCGGTATTAAGAATTCTTTAGAATTGATAAAAGACCACTACCCATTCTTTCCCATTTTCGGCTCCTTTCACCTCAAAGAAGCCGACTTCTCATGTAGAAATGTTTTTCTATCCCTACTTCCTTTTCCATCCCTTCAAAATCCAACATATAATCATAAAACATCAATATCTCACTGAAACGTTGGTACGATAAAGAAAATGTTTTTCTGAAACCTGCATCACACCAGACCGCATCTCACGATCTCTGAATAATCATCAACTAACGGTTACTAAACACCACACTTGACAAAATAATTAAATAACATCAATATACCTAATAACTGTATTTTAGTGCCATTTGATGTTATTAATTTATTCACAAAAATCCCTTTTAAAGAATGTACAAAAGTTATAAAACAAAAACTAACGGAGAATTTTGTTAACGAATTTGTAAAATTTGTAAAAATTTGTTGTTGATACAGTAGACCTCATAAACATATGCCTACTGTAAATTCAATAATAAATTTTATGAAATGAAAGGGCTATCATAGGGGTCTCCATTATCCCCACTTTGTGGCGAAATAGTCATGGATAATTTAAAAAAAAATCTTTTCAAATCAAACAACAAATTAATTAAATTTGTTCTTTTTTGGAAACGCTACGTAGACGATATTTTATGCATGAGGTCGGGATAACTTTTACATTGGAAATTAATAAAGATGGTTGAACTTTTTGGACCTAAAATTATACATAATAAACAACCTAATTGAAACAGACGTACATAGAAAACCCACAACTACAGACACTATGGTACCAGCGGATTCTCCTCACACACGGACCCAAGGAATAAGAAATATTTATTGATAAGTTGTTAGTTAAAAAGAATAAAAAAATTAACTTAATTTACTAATTAATTTTTTTTTTTTTTAAAGGCAGCAACCACAATCAGGGTTATATTTGCCTTGAATCTGTCCTGAGTGCGGCCTGCGGGGGAAGCAGACGCCCGACCGAGGAGCCAGGCAGCACGGGGGGACATGGGGGCATATGGGAAGCATTCTCTTGCATTGGGGCTTGCATTGTCGCCCAGAAGTCCCCACATACACACACACGCACACATACCCCCGCCACCGGCACCACACCCGAGCGCCCGCCACCAGCCACAGGTCCCATCTCTTTATTTCACCTCACAAATCAGATTTTACCAAACAATTCTGTTTCCCTTAAAAATTTAAATAATCTTGATACTGTTGTTTCCCTGTCATTTAGCCATTCGGGTAGAGAGGCGGGCAACCCACTGCTCATGCGTGCCCTTCTGTATATCTTACATTCTAACAATATGTGATTGACTGTGGTTAAAACTCCACATGTCAAGCACATAGGTGGAGGTTCGCGTGCCATTAAATACCCGTGTGTTATTCGTGTATGCCCTATCCTGAGTCTCGCAAGTACACATTCTTCTTTTCTAGACAGTCTAGCTGAGGTGGCCCATAGTCTTATATCCGCTTTAACGGCTCTAAGTTTGTTTTCCCTAGTATTGAACCATTCTAGTTGCCATTTTTCTTTGGTTTTGGCTTTCACATGTGTAACGAAGTCTTCTTGCGGCACCTCACTTATTTTATGACCTTCTCTCTGGGCACTTCTTGCCGCTTTGTCTGCCTCAACATTTCCGGTTATCCCGCAGTGTCCTGGTATCCACATGACAGTGACTTGTAAATTTTTGCGGTAAAAGTCCTTTATGGCAGAGTGATTTTCATGTACGAGGGGGTTCAGGCTGAAAATATCTTTTAAGGCATATACTGCTGAAAGGGAATCAGTACAAAGGATCAGATGATTTCTTGTCAAAGCTATTAACTTTATTCATCAACTATCACATTAACTATCAAAAATTAACTTTAAAAGCAGCAAAAATTGGACCACTACAATAAAAATGAATCATTAGGTTTTCGTTGTTTACCATACATTGATGAACTATCAGAAAAAGTAAGTATAATTCTCAAACAAGAAGATTTTAGAGCAGCTTTTAGAGGTACGCGTCCGTTTAGAAACCTAAAGGTGCCCCTACACTATCAAGCGGCTTGATCAAATGCTTGAGTAAATCGATTGTATCAAGCGTGATTGATAGTGTAGAAACCTGATTGACGCTTGAAGCAAGCATTGATGGTGATTGTTAGGAAGTTTGAATGACTCAAGCAGATGATCAAGCGGCTTGATAGTGTAGGGCAATTTTCATCAAGCATTGCGTCAGTCACTCGGTGGAAGTCATGGCGTCCACTACCGAAACCGCGCTTCCCGAAAACTCGGAGCGGGAGTTCATCAGTTTGTTGAGAGATTTATATCGTGATTGTCCCGAATTGAGGAAAGTAAATAGTAAAGATTATTTCAATAGAAATAAAAAAAAGTTCCTTTTGCTATTTTTTCTGCTTCAGGGCAACCTATGTTAGGACTAGGAAGCCCAAATCTGTATTTGAAACCATTCAGCGCTGAAACAAAACAAAAGATCAAACAGCGCAACGCAGTGCTCCACTTCACGGCTTCCACTGATGAGGATCGAGGGTGTTTTGACCGAAAGATTAAAGGGTTGATTGAAGCACGCTTGAAGGTTCAAGCATTTGATCAAGCCGCTTGATAGTGTAGGGGCACCTTAAGTCCTTTCAAAATCTAAAGACAAGGTTGTCATTAATTTACCAATCTTTTATTGATTGCAGAAAGGAGACATGTCCATTTTTTTTCCTTTTTCCCGCTATCTTCCATAGTACAAATAGAGCTAAGTTTGGTGCTAAAATAAGACATTTCACTTGATTGGATATGGAAGAAAACGGGCCTTCAAATCTGCCTTGAGCGCAATATGGAGTCTTTCAACAAATTACTTCCTTGGAAATAGGAAGACTACCTGCAAAAGATCAAAAGAAATTCATGAATTCATCGTGCCATTACTTTGAGGTATCTTCCCAGGCACTATCAAAACGTCTCAGTTCATTGATACTCTAGTAGACTACCATTTCCAGCTGAGGAAGGGAAATTAAAAAACCTCCGAATATCGCGCTACCAACTGCAGAATTGTACACGTCAAAGATTCCAGACAATGCTGCAAAAATGAAGGATTTGAAGAGCGACAAGCAGTATATCCCACAAATGGCAGTTCACACTTTTTGGGGATCATTTTACGCTTGACGTAGAGCTGCTTAAAACAAACAATCTGAAGATGATCTCAATAAAGGTCGAAACGTGGGCACAATAAAGAAAACGTTTCAAACCTGCATCACACCAGACCGCATCTCACGATCTCTGAATAATCATTAACTAACGGACATTAAACACCATACATTAAAACAAACTTTTTAGGTCTCTTGTTTTTACTTTAAGGGTGTTTGAAACTTCTTTTTACAATGTTTAAATGTATTAAATATTTTCGAATCGGTAACTTCATTTCTTGCAAAAAACGATCAGTTCTCCACAATAAAAAAAGTGTTGTGAGCAGTACAGAGACATATCCACACCCCAAAAGTGGATACCCTGCTCACAATCATTGACGAATTTGAGGAAAACCTCAAAATACATTTGTAAAATAGCCTAATAGAGGTCCTATAATTCATTCAAAATTTTAGAACAGAAAATATCTCATTGAAACAGTTTTTTGCCTCTCCTGAAAAAATTAGTTTTTGGAACATGTCAATATGCAACAGTCATGTTGGCAATCAATGATTCATTTAATAAATAAAAAACATACAAAAGAATCACTAGTTTATAGTTATTTTTTTTACGGTATTTATTAATATAATATTTAGTTGTGTTATAATTCCCGAAGTTCCTTCAACCTGATGATGTGCTATAAGCTTGAAATCCGGATTGTTTGAAACAACTAACTGTGAGTAGGAACTATCTTTTTATCAAATTAAACCACCAACCTGGTCTTTTGTAAATTTTTGTAAATGTCTTCTTCTTCTTCTAGTGGCCCGATCAACGCTGCAATAGTTACTAATAAGTCCTACTAATACATTTTGAAGCTTTTGAGCCTATTCTTCCTCAACGTCCTGCAGTCAGGGACTATTCGAAAAGTGGCGGTATCAATGACGTCGTGAGTGGGGAGCAGAACATGCGCGCGCTACACGTTCCCCGTCGCCTTTCCACAGGCCTTGTTTACGTTTTAGGTTGGGTTCGTTTCCGGAGGTGGTTATAACACATTAACACAGTGCTAAACTCTCTATCGGGTCCGTGCGGGTTTCCAATCGGTCGTCGCCAGTTTCCGAAGCGGTCTCGGCCCTGGGAAAATGTCCACCAGCGCCAACAGCTCCGACTGGTTCTACTTCCATGTGTCTTAGCGAAGAGAGAACAGCGATTCATGTCCTCGATAATGGAGTCTCTCAGAAAATGGTTCTACAAGCCAAGGGTGAGACTTTCAATTCTTTACTGTGACCTATTTCGATCTGGAGTTTTATACGAGGTCTGGCCCTGTTTTACAAAGGGCGAGACGTCCCTTGACGTGCCCTTCCCCAATCAAATGGGGATAAAAATCAATTCGCCCACCTTTTTTTATTCCAGCATCCAAGATGAGAGAGAAAAATAGAAAGTTTCTCTTCTTTCACCCACTTTTCGGCCCAAAACCATTTTAAACTAATATTATTTCATATTTTAAAAGGCAATTTACAAAAAAGAAGCAATATTTAAAATAGGAAAAATCTCTTAAAATCACTCTGCAAAAAGAAAACAAAAATATTAACACCTAAAATTTATAAAAAAATCTTCAATATTCTTCACCTTCTGGTGTAGCAACTCCATTTAAAATGCACCCCCCCCCCAAAAAAAAAAATCCTCACAAAATTACCTCAAAACCAAAATTGTTCCAAAAATTTTACCCTTTACTATTCAAATCTATTTGTCCATAGAAACAGTGTTGAAATTTTAATAGAACTAACCTTGGGTTTTTTAATACATCAAATGACGTTTAAATTATTGATTTTTTTAAGTATAAAATTTAGCCGATTTGCAGCAATTTTCTTCAAAATAAGTACCTTTAACTTGGATATTGTGTTGGATATTAAAACTGCGCGTTCTTTAATTCAAAACTTGGACCTTGAATGTGAATATGTCTCGGATATATATTTAAAAAAAAAAAAAATTCATTTCTATGGGCCCATTTGACGATCGAATTTCATTTTGACCTTGTCTGGAAATGATAAATTTTCCAAATTCCTCCTCAATTATCCGTCGAAGCATACTCGACTTTTTTTTGTGTCCAAATCGCGACGGCATAAAACGACTGACGTCCGGGTTTTTTAAAATACGAAACATTCCTAAGAAAACATGAAAACTGGGTCGTTGTCATAATTACACGGGATGTTACAAAAGGATGAAATCTCATTGTTAAATTTACGCTCGTTGAAACGGGTTTTCCTCAGTAAAATCTGCCCGGTTAATTATTTACACGCATAGACTTTTCTGTTTCTCCTTGAGAATTCGAACGGGCCACGTATTTTTTCCTCTGGTTAGGTTGATATTTTTAATTTAATAAAGTATTTATTAAACGCAACATTGCACAAATTCATTGCTAGTTGTACTGGTTTTATGTATTTCCTTGACAATTATAGTCATAGACCTAGAATAGGTGAATAGGTCACACATCTTTTTTTTTCTACTATGGATTCATTTCTAATATAGGCTAGTTAAAAAAAATCCCACATTCATAATTGTATCAACATTTTTGTAATAATCGAAATTCGGTCAGAAAAATCGATTTATTTATAATTTCGTCATGATAGTCCAAAATTTGTTGGCTGCATCTGCTAGGAAAGATTTTTCACTTCATTTTCATATATTTATTTCACTCTTTAATTCTCCAAAAAAGAGAAGTAAATCAGAATAATGCGCATATTATTAATTATTTGGTACAATTTATTTAAAAGACGACAAACGTATCGTTGTATGATTACATCTGATTGTGCTTTTATTATGCGCTTAATTTATTTATATGCATTTTTGTAATGGGTCCTAAGAATTTGAATAGGCATTTTGTATCCTCTAAGGATTGTCATTTCTGAAATCATAGTCTAGTTAAAAAGTATTCCATCCCATATCATTTTTGTAGTAGGGAAATCTGTTTCTGTCAGAAAACTCGGTTTATTTATAATTCCGTAATGATAATCCAGAATTTGTGGCTGTATGTGCTAACAAATATATTTCAATATTTAAATCTTTAACTCTCCTTATTTTATTATTTATTATTGGTTCTGAGAATTTGAATAGGCAACACACTGACCGGCAAAAAATTCCACCCACTTGTAATATACCTTGATTTGTATACATTTTTGTATATTAATGAAGGTTTCGCCTTTTTTAACTTTAATAATTGGGTCTTTATATAAAAAAGTTTAAAAAGATGTAAATTGCTAAGGAAAATAGAAAATAATAAAACAAATTAAAAAAAATAAAAAGGGATGACAAATAAAATTTGTTGTAGATTTTTAATTAACATTTCAATATCGCGAATTTCCTCCTCTTGCCTTAATTACATCTCGAAGACCCCTCGGCATACTTTCTTCCAGTCTGGAAATATCTCTTCGCTGGAGGTTAGCCCATTCTCACGAAGAGTCCTTTCAAGAAGGTGGAGTGTATCAGGAGGCGTGTTCTTATTCGTATTTTGAGGTTATCTCATAAACGTTTGATGGGGTTCAAGTCTGGAGAACGGGCTGGCCAGGCTAAGACCCTGATGTTATGCTGTTGAAGGTACGTTTCTACTATGCGAGGACGGTGCAATAGAATAGGATTGTCGCTGATTTCATCGAAGATAGGCAACCGATGATGTTCCAAAATTTCATCCACCTAGCGAATGGTCGTCAAAAACCATCCACGAACCAACTCTGTGCGAGTCTATGTAAATTCCCGCCCGTACCATCACTGAGCTACGTTGAAAAGGTGGGCTCTGGGAAAAATTACAGGCTTTGTACCTTTCATTCGCCTTCGAGATCATAGAAGCTCATCTGTAATAAGTACAGCAGACCAATCGTCTAAAGACCAATGGCTGTGCAAATGTGAGCCGTGCAACTCTGTGTTCTGGACAATTCTGGTCCTCTTACGGGGCGAAAAGCCATCAGTCCATAATTATTTAATCTTCTTCGAGCAGTGCGTTCAGAAATTTGGACACCTCGAATTTCCTGGAGCTGATGAATCGCTTGAACAACAGCAAGGTGCCGGTTTCGCAAAATTCTCAAAGTCAATATTATTATTATGCTTGCCTCTTAACTTGAGCAAAATATGGATTAAATTTTAATTTAATGACGCAAGTACGGATAGTATTTCAAGATAACGCGCTGCTAGCTCAGCTGAAACAGGAAGTACATTCCCAAGCACCTCGTGTCGAGGGTATTGTCAAATCACCCTGTGGTTCTGTTACCCTATGGCGTCCAGAACCGTGCTACTTAATCCATGGTAGGACCCAGTTTCTCGAAAACGTCTAACGGCCTCTCGTAGAGTTTCGTAGGGAATTCCGATGGCAATGGTCGCATACCTAATGCAACGTCCATCATCAAAAAGAGCCTCACCACGCGCAACATTCTCAGCACTAATTGGCATTTTTACGTTTAAAAATTGAAATTAACAAAACAAACATGAAAACTAAGTTTTTTACTTCAGAATTCAAATGAGACAGTATAAACATTTTCAATTTCGTAAAAATTAAACATTGAAAAATCCTTTATCCTTGTTTTGGATTAAGCATTAAGTGTGTTTACGTCTAATGTATATTCCCAATTGAAAAAAGTATATACAAATATTTATTGATAAAAACAATGAGAAAAATTAAGGGCAGAATTTTCTTTTATCGAGAAAATGAAAAAAATCAGTTGGAATTTTTTGCCTGTCAGTGTATATTGTTCCATCATGGATTGTCATTGTGATATCATCATAGGCTAGTTAAAAAATATTTCATCCGATATTTATCAAAATTGGATGGTTGTATCTGCTAAGAAATATTTTTGATATTTAAATCTTTCATTATCCACCAAAGAGTAGAAAATCAGAAAAAGTGGCTTATTATTAATTATTTGGTTCAATTTATTTTCAGGACAACAAAAGCGTGTTAGTATCTATGATTACAGCTAATTGCGCTTGTGCATTTTTCTAATTGGTCCTGAGAAGTTGAATAGGCAACATATATTTTATCCACTATGGATTGTCATTTCTGATATCATAGGCTAGTTAAAAAATATTCTATCGCCATTCTCAATTACAATTCAATATTCTACATAATTTTTGTATTAGCGAAATCTGTTCCTGTAGAAAACTCGGTTTATTTATAATTTCGTTATGATAATACTCCAAGATTTGTGGCATTTAACTTTAAGGGGAAAAAAAGGAAGAAAATCAGAAAAACGTGCTTACTATTATTAGGTTCAATTTGATTGCAAGATGGCAAACAACACTTGCAAGTGTGTTTGTGTCTTTGTATGATTACATCTAATTGAATTTTTATTATGCGCTTAATTTATTTATATGCATTTTTGCAATTGGATAGGCGACTATAGTTTTTCTCCTCCTGGGTTGACATCTTAAATATAATAAACGTTTTAATAAATGCGCCATCACCCAATTCATATTGTATACCGGGTTGTTTTTTTATTTACCGGATAACAACGTAAATTTTCCATTTCTCGTTGACAATTCCGTTAGGCCACATACTTACCAATTTTTCTCTTATTGATTGACATTTTTAATATCACATTTTATAAATATACCATCTCATGATATAAGATACGATAACTGCATTTTCTTTTTCTTCTTGGGAATTCTAGAGATATAATTTATTGTCCCCGTGGGTTGACATTTCTAATTTCATAGACTATATTTATAGAATAAACGTACCATTTCAATAATTCATAATTGTATTAAATGTTTCGGTCAGGAAAATCGGTTTGTTTTTAGTTTGCTGGTGATAATAATGTAAAATGTGTTGGCTGTAGGTTGTATGTGAGTGTTCTAAGTTTTTCAACATGGAAATAGTTTTTTCTCCTCTAGTTTATTATTAATGATTAGGTTTAATTTATATATTGGAAAAAAATGAGTTTTTATTATATCTTTGTATGAAAGCATGTATTTGCACTTAATTTACATGTTTTCATTTTTTCCAAGGAATTTGAATAAAACATAACTAAAATATTTTTTTAACAGTGAATCGGTTTCCTCCAGGAAAATAAGTTGACTTATTTGCCTTAAAACTACATAATTTTTATTTTTCCCCTAGAGGATTCTGAAGGCAAGATATAATTTTTGCCCACATGGGTTGACATTTTCTGTATCATAGACTATTTAATAAATGTACCAATCTCATCAATTCATTATTGTACCACGATATTTTTAAAAGCGAAAGCGGTTTATTTATAATTTTATTAAATAATT